AAAATTGACTTCTTCTAGTTATTGTTACTTACATTGCCTTTGTGGCCACCAGTACCATTAGAACCACCTACTCTAATTACTGCTTCTATCCAATAGTGTAATTATGAAATAAAGCACAGGGCAAAGGCCAAAGGGATTTAACAAGAATCTAATAAAAAGAAACGGTTCTCTAGATGGAGAAATGTACTACAACATAGTGAAAATTCACATCGTGAATCTTTCTAAGAGAAAAGTCTTGAAAATATCAGATGGCTTGTGCTGGTATATCAAGTTAAGTAATTAAGTAAGTAATCTTCAAGACTTTTTTAATGTAAAAGTAAAATGAGTACTCCCTTTTCCTAAAATAAGGTGATGCATCCCAACTATTCTCTCAACTAAATGTTTAACCTCTGCAAATGTGAGAGGTTAGCCCTGCTTGAGGACACAGATGTCCAGGCTTGCCTCACATTTCACTCTGAAGCTCCTTCCTACCAGCACTAACTCTCTAATAACTAACCATCATAAAATGAAAATTGTGCTTCTTGGCTGGGTGAGTACTAAAGTGAGAACAAAAGAAACAGATCTAAAAGCTGATGAATACAAATTTTCAATACATGAAAGAACAGTATATATATATACACACACACATAAATGTGCATATTTTTTCCCTCCTAATCAATTCGCTACATCACCAGGGCTGTGAATGGCTGCATGGGATGGCAGAGGGGACAGTGGGATGAGGTAAGGCTAGCTGGCAGGCACTAAGGTCACAGTTAGACAGGGGGAATGGTTTTGGTGCTCTACTACACAGGAGAATATAATTATTATGTAATATTTAGTCATCTATAATATATAGATAATATTTTTTTTCAAAAAAGGCTAGAAAGAAGGATTTTGAATGTTTATACTACAAAGAAATGACAAATGTCTAAAGAAATAGGTATGTTTACCAAGACTAGAACATTATACAATGTATTCACATTTATGTACATATGGTACTCCAAAAGTATGTACAATTTTTAATGTCAATTATAAAAGACAATGGGACAATGTGTCATGTCAAATATTAATTTTTGCTGTAAAAATTTGAGTTTTTATAGTTTGGTTTTTTATGTAATTTGGCCATTAAAAACTCATTTAACTTAAAATTGGCTATGATATGCCTTCTTGGGAATTGTTATGTACACGTAGAAATTTTGTGAAGAAGAAAAGCACACCAACAAATCATTTGGGAACATAAGGACATTTTCTTCAGTTTGTGAGTAAATTTTTTAAATGATAAATTATGCTTTATAATATTTAATGATATTAAACCAAGATTCTTTAACACACTGCTCTCCTAACAAGCTCTTGCTGAAACATCCCAGTGAGGAGTGTCCTAGGCTTGCTCTCTGCAGAGAATTTCTGTCATCTACCTCCTGCTTTTAAGCACTGAAACTTGGTTTCATAAGCCAATGGTTCTCAGAGTATGATCCCTGGGACCCTTTCAGGGAGTCCATAGGTCAAAACTATCTTCATAATAATTTTAAGATATCATTTGCGGGGCTGGGGATGTGGCTCAAGCGGTAGCGCGCTCGCCTGGCATGCGTGCAGCCCGGGTTCGATCCTCAGCACCACATACCAACAAAGATGTTGTGTC